ATGTATGCAATGTGTTAATTATTGAAACTGTCCTACCAATTTGGTTTGAAACTGTCTCATTGCTATTTGTTTCTTAATAAAATTATGGAAAAAAATAATAAAAATAAAAAAGTAATTTATATTGTAATGAAAATCATACAGAAAGAAGAACTTTACCTGGATATCAAGAAGTTACCAGACAAGACGACAGCTTGGTGATAGTGAGAATGCACAATGTATGCACATGTCTATAATTTTATGGTTTAAAAAGTCTGCTAGGGGCTGGGGAGATGGTTCAGTAGAATAAGTGCTTGCCTGGCAAGCACAAGGGACTGAGTCCAATCCCTGGTTCTACCTAAATTAATTAATTAATTAAAATAAAAGGTCTGCTGGGTGTGGTATCCCATGCCTATAATCCCAGAATTTGGGAGCCTAGAGGAGGAGGATTGTTATGAGTTCAAAGCCAGCTGAAGCTACATAGTTAGAGACCAGTATGAACTACAGAGTGAGACCCTGCCTATAAAAACCAAATAAAATAAAATAAAACAGAGACTGGACATGGTGGTGCATGCCTGTAATCTCAGCTCTTGAGAGGCTGTAAACAGGTGGATAACTGCAAGTCCTATCTCGTAGTGAGACCCTGAACACCCTGTAGTCCTTCCCCCCCGCCCCCAAAAAGGGTCAGCATTTAAAGAAGATTCATCACTTAGACATGGCTCACAGGTTGCCATGAGCTAGTTTTTTATTTGTCTGTTTAGGATTATTTCTAAAAAGAGCTTGAACATTTACCTGATACACAGAATGATACAGAACAAGTTATAGAAGAGTCATTTCTGTTTACTAGACCAACTCTCCAAAGTCTTTTTATTTATTTATTTATTTATTTATTTATTTATTTATTTAATGTATTTGGTTGTTTGAGGATCTCACCACACTGCTCAGACTTGTTGTGATTCTACTGCTTCCAGCTTTCCCAGAGCTGGGATTACAAGCTGGCTCGGCATGCCCTGAGGGCAGGGCTGGCGCACCATGTGATGCCCGGGATCCAAACCCAGTGCCAGAGCTTGTCTAAGCTTGCCTAAAGAGTTGCTTTAGTCTGCTGAGCTATCTCGCCATCCCTTTTTCTAAGGTCTTCTAATGCTACTAAAGTCTTCTAATTATTACATACCTACAATTAAGTATGACAGATGTGAAACCATAAGCCTTCTCTGAGTGATGTGTAGAGTACACTCCTTTAGTCATGAAGAGTAATGCTGTAAAATTCAAATGGCTGGGCTAGGGATAGAGCTCATGGAACAGCAGTTCCCCACTATTTTGGGGTTTGACTTTCGCTGACTCACTGTTGCACAGGTTTTTTTTTTTTTTTTTTTTTTGGCAGAACTGGGGATTGAACTCAGATCCTTGTGTTTGCCAGGGAAGCACTTATTCCACTGAGCCATCTCCTTGGCCCCTGTTGCATAGGTTTTTAAAAAATATTAATCTAAATTATTTATCACAGATTTTTCACTGTCTGGTGTGATTTTTGCAGTACTGTATGGTGTATGTATGTTGTTAAAATTACATAGATTTATGAGTTTAGAAAATGGTTAAGAACAGTAGAAGTGTTTCTAAAAGTGTGGGAAAGGTTTATAAGAGTATGGGAAGGGTTTATGATCTATCTATCTATCTATCTATCTATCTATCTATCTATCTATCAATCATCTCTATTTCACTGACTTTCACGTACTCCGGAGGTGTCTTGAACGTAATCTCCTCCGCAGCAAGTGAGGAACAAGTGTATAATGTATATCTAGCATGCACAAGGCACTGTGTTTGATTCCCAGCACTACAAAATATGCATTAAACTAAAAATAAATAATGAATTCACTAAAATGGAAAATCAATCCAACTTACTGAAGAGAAAGTATTGTAAGAGGCACAAGAGAATCCAGCAAAGCCAGTAGGGTTGAGGATGCTGTCAGTGTAATACTTGTAGCTTCTTAAGTGATTACAGGCTGCAAAGTCCCGACTCCCTGTGAAATGAGACAAGATTGTACATCAACAATGGGTGCTCATTTCTCAAGTTAGTGTGAGATCAGAAGACCATTAGCCAATAGATTCTTCTAATTAGTGTGAACTCCTGGAAAGTCATGGCGCAAAATCCTTTATGAAATATATTTATGATTTGTGATGTAACCATACATTCAGTGCTATTTACATTTATAATAGATTATACCACTTGTTGGATGAAAAGGGAAATGAATTAAGATTCATACAAATTCAAGTGTGACAATACTACATTCTTTAAATTAGATCCTTGGAAAGTTAACTGCAAATATAATTTATTTCCCAGTTTCCTCATGACCTCTTGTCCTAACAGGAGCTTATGTCTCAGAGATGCAGTGAAAAGTCCTTTGTTACATAAAATGAGAGACCTGCACAATTCCAAAATATTTAGCAAGGTTAGCAAACAAAAATACAAACTTTTCCCACTGAAAAACTCCTTGCGGACATAAGAGTTTTACCTTCCCAGATTCCATCTATGTCAACAATCTGAGAGATAATGTTCTTCTGACATCCAGGCATTTCCACCCCTCCATTTGGAAAGAAATCCAGGTGACCCACAGTTTGGCTCATTCCAAATCCTGAAGAATTTAAAAATAAGAGTGGGTTTTTCATATGGTATAGCCTTAAGAGACTCTAAAGCACTCCACTGTGTGGAGTCAGAACTCTCTCATGGGACAAATTGTGGCACTCACCCAAATTGGGGACTATTGGGGCACCATCTGTGTGAATTACATCCACAAATTGGGCATCACTGGGATCCAATCGGACTAGTTCAGGGGCACCCTGAAAGTAAGGTTCAGCTGGATCCAACCCTGTAGCAAACAGGAATTTCATTAATTACATCAACAGTCTGTGTACTCATCTTTCATGAGTAGTTACAGACCTGAGTGCGAGTAGGATCTTGCCTGTAATCATGAGTTAATGATAGAGGTGAACAAGTTCTTCCTCAATTTGCTGTTTCCTTGACAGAAAACTGCTTTTAGTGTTCTCTTTGCTTAAAAGTGAATTTTCCGCAAACCACAGAATTTGTCTCTACTTATGAATACTTAGTTTATGGAAAAATCTTGATTACTAATAGTAGTTATCAGAAAAGAGGCCATCCCCGGGATACTCTGGACTTCAGCCATTCAGGTTAAAAGAGTTGACACTGGTCTGTAATCTAGGAGGGCAAGGGTCTTGCCTTTCCTGGTCACTCAGTCGACAGCCTAGCATGGCCCAGTTCCAGGCTAAATAGGCTGTGATAAAAATTTATAAACTACAGGAAATAATATTCTAAAAGAACTTCTGTTCAGCTATCTAGTATGCAGACAGTCCAGATGTCCCATCAATCCAAGCATGACCACCTTCACAATATTAAAAAGATGATCACATTTGGAATATGGAAGAGGGAAACAGTCATTCTCTGAACTGATCGTGGCTCAGATCTAGCAGGACAACCTACTGCTCATAAGATTATAGCACTTGGATATCCAGTATGTATCCCCGTTGGCTTAACACAACCAGGCTGAGGTTTTCAGCATAATATTTTAAACCTATTGAGTAGAACTCAGAACTAGTAGCCCAGGGCCGTTTGGTCATTATTAATCCCTATTTCCTTCCTTTCTGGGATTGTGGCTGATGAGCTACAGTCTTACTTGTCATTGTCATTGAAGAAAAATATAATTAATTATGTATTTGAGGTCTATGTTACATTTATTCTATTATTTAGGCATGAAATTCCCTGTGGATACCCAAAAAATGAGGGAAGAATTATAGGAATGTTTCTGATTGGTCTAAACTCATATTTTACTCACATGTCATGTACTGAAATGTTAAACAGCTTGGTGCAGATCAAAGAATGATCACAATAAAAACCGGTGCACCAGGCCACAGAACATTCTATTTTTCGATCATGTGGCCAATTCAGAAAGTACCCCAAAACATAAGGCAGGCTATGCCAAAATCCCCTCCTGTATTTCCTCTCAGACCCCATAGAGGCTGCACATAGTCTAATTTTGAAGTTTTTGTGGGGGGATCATGTTTACTTCACAGTTATTTTTTTAAGACCATGTTGCAGCTGAGAAGTAAAACACTGGGTCTAGACCTTTCAGGCTGCAAACACTGCACACAGTGCTCGGTGGCCTAATCACTTAACATGTCTTAGACACTAGCCTTTACTCCCATCCCTATGTAATGTCAAAAACTCCTTTTAGCTGATGATACAAATAGATTTTTTCTGACCCCCTTGACCACTATGCCTCATGAGTCAATACACATTTGCTAACCCTACAAACAAGGATTTTTTTTTTAGCAATGCAAGAAAAACTGAACCCTACTGCAAAACATCACTCATTCTTCAAACAACATTTGGTTCTCAGAATTGAGATGGATGGAAGCACACCTGACATGACATTCCAGTCCTCTCTTCTTCACATTTAAATCAAATATAAAGGTCCCTGGTTTTCTCCTGGTTGGTGCATTCCTCTCTTGGAATTCACCAGCTTTTCTCTCGCAAGTTTCACTAACTTTTCTATACTCCTTGGTTGTGGGTAAATTCCTTTCATCACTTGCGATGCCAGCCCCTCACGTGATGTGCCTCACTGAGGTTTTCGCTATTGTGACCAACCTGTGATTCGCCCGATGGCCCCCTTGGTCCTCCTTCCAGCCTCCCCAGCAGCGTGAGAACCCAGACTGTGGCCTATGACGTGGACGTTGGAAGGCGAGTATCCCAGCTGAGACTGTTGGAAAGACAATCTCCTCAAAATGTGTTCAAGTACTATAGAACTCCTAGTGGGCACAAAAGGGGCCCCTCCAAACCTTGGTTTTTAAGAAGACAATTGATTTTCATGGGGTTTTATGCATTGTTATAATGAAAAGTAGAAATTATTTTTACTTTTATTATTTTTTTGAACTTTAGGGAAGGGTCTACAGGGTGTTCAGGGTCTTACTACTAGATCAGATTCATAGTGATCTGTCTGTTTACAGCTTCCCAAGAGCTGGGATTATAGGTGCGCACCATCATTCCCAGTCTCAATTGCCATCTCAGCAGCTCCCGGGGGTAGGGCCATCACAGCAGGCCCAAGGGGTCAAACCCTGGTCCCCTGAGCCTGCTTGCAGGTGTTTTAATCTGCTAAGCTATTTGGCTGGCCCCATTTTTACTTTTAAACTAGTAGACACAGTGCTCTATTTTGTTCAAAGGATCTTTGAGGGACATGAAGAATTGTACCCAGAGATGATAAAATAAGTGTTTAGATTATAAAACCATAAGACAATGTTACTCAGACACATTTAAGTTTAACTCTTTTTTAACAAATCAGTAACCCAGTCACGTTAGCTCTTTGTCATTATGTTTCTCTTCAAAAATATAAATTAGAATAAAATTAGTTTAACCTTGAAGTTGATATTGTCAGGTCAACTTAGTAATAACCAGAACAATAAAAACTGCTTAGGCCCAGTGCTTGCCATGTACCTTGTTACTTGTATAAGTTCACTTAATTCGAACAAAAATAAGTTTATTGAATTAAATAGGAATTTATGAACACAAAACTTAGATTTTTTAAAAAATCTTTTTAACCTAAGAATAAAGTCAGACCGCAGCAGAAAATGTTTTTATCAATCATCATACCTACGCCTTTTGTTTTGGAATACAGCAATACATATGGGTTTAATGTTAATGCTACTTAGAAGGAATAGTTTTTAACAATGTAAGGAAGACCAAACCCTACTGCACAAAGCATTACTCAGTCTTCAAACAACATTTTGGGTCTCCTCAGAACTGAAGAGGGCTTAGGTAGCCTGAAGAAGTTACCTGAAGGACATCAACGAAATAGGCCACTTCCGCCCCCACGACACGGACATTCTGTGAAGCCTGGGTGTACAAAGCTCGGGAGCCCCCTTTCCAGTCCACACAGATGCAGTTCACACTTTCCACCTGAATCATGGCCTGAAGGAAGAAACAATAAATAGGTAAATTGTGTTGGATCATTAGCAAATACTAACACATACGAGGACAAGGGGATCCTCTCTTTCACCTGTGAAGTCTCACTCCAGAGACACAAGCAAATCTCTACTCTCCTATGAATGTGAAATCCCTAATAAGTTTAAGTTGGCTCCAACTGGAGACAGGGCCATCATGGAAACTGGGTTCTTGGGATTTCTGTTTGATTGAGATAGGAAGGCATAAGATGTGGTATGGTGAGTTATCTCATTAGCGCACCCTACGGGCCATAGGATTCCCATGTCCCTCACTAGAATGTACCCAAGGAAATTGCCTGCTTCTTTCACAGCTATGTCCTACTCAGTGACTAGAATGATACCTGATACACAGTAGGGGCTCAGTAGATATTTTTTGAATGAATGAAAGACTATGATCAATCCCCCGAAATTTATAAATATACTGAAGGTAAAGGAAGGAGCTTTGCTAAGATGAAAGGAACTATTCAAAGTCTTTGCGTGTGTATGTTTTATTGTACATCATGCAAGTTATTTCACATGAATGTGTACTCTAACAAGGTTCCACTGGAGGCTCCGAGCACTGAGCCTCAGTTTTGGATTCATATAGTTACTGCAGCAATGATCCTGTTTCCCTTAATTTGCTTTTGGTTCTGTTCCCAGAGACAACAAAGACTTACAAGATGGAAAATCAAACAGAATAAATTCTAGTAACTGGGAGTGTTAAAAATAACTACATTTTTGTGCCACATCAATCACAGAAATTTGATAAAACAGAAACAAATAGATGAGGGGCCGGGGAGATGGCTCAGTAGAATAAGCGCTTGCCTGGCAAGCTCAAGGGCCTGAGTTCAATCCCCGGTTCCGCAAAATCAATCAATCAATCAATCAATCAATCAATCAATCAATCATAGTGTTTCTCAAACAGGATCATTGCTGCAGTAACAGAAGCCAGAAATAAAAATCATCATGTTTTCTCTAGACACTGTCACCAGAGGAGGTCAGAGTAACAAGCAAAAATCAAAGAAAAAGAGTTCAGGCAAATGAGATCTCTTAGCTCTTCATGTGGATATTATAGCCTGGTGAACAATCTAGGGCATAGGTAGCTGGGGTACGTCAATATGGCAGCTTTGTTACTAACAGTTTGAAGCACTCCTGTATTACTTGTTAAATATTCACTTCCTGGAGCCACCAAATACCTGCCCATCTGCTTGCTATGACTTCCCAAGTCACCTCTACCTGCCAGCATCTTCTGCACCTCCCCTCGGAAGCCCCATCTCAGCAGAGGTCAGAGATTCCATACCATGTGGTAGTTCCTTGTTTTTGTTCTCCTTGGTCATTTATTTTCATTCTGGAGAAAAATGTCCTTTAGAAGATTACCAGGGCTTACCTTGCACATGTTGGCCAGCCAATTTTCTTCTCCCTTATCTATGAATCCATGAATAATGAAGCGGGTTTTCCTATCTGTTCTGAAGTTGGAGCTCTTGATAGCTGATGAATCAGCAGTAACAATCTGTTTCATATTGAAAAGCATTTCTGGTCATTAGAGCACAGGACATGTGCATGGAGGTGATAGGTAAAGACTATTGTCAATAACGATTCTCCCAACACAGTGAAGCCATTTGTAGTCAACAATAAGTTTCTACTTTCTAGTCATTACAAAATTTTTTGGCCATTCAACTTGGAATAATATATCTCCTATAGTATTTTTCATTAATAACTTATCTCCATATAATGGAAATATTGGTTTATCTCTGTATCTATGTATATGTATATGTATGTATATATATATATATATATATATATATATATATATATCTACAGATGTTCTTTCAGTTGCAATGGTTGTGTCCCAATAAGCCCATCAAAAGTTGATAGTGTTGTTAAATTGAAAATGCACTGAAAACACCTCAACTCTCAGCTGTAGTTTAGCAACACAGCACACTCTAGAGAACTAATTGTTTACACTGGTAGTCAGAGGCTGGCTCGATATTTCTGTCCACTGCTGGTGGTGCCTAGGCAAGGTATCATTCAGATATCACTACCCAGAAAGGATCGAGATGAAAAATTCAGGGGGTGATTTCTACTAGATACGTATTGCTTTCCCAAATCAGAATGACCAAAACTTAATTGGGGATCATATATTGGGTCTATATATACATATATACATAATTTAATTCATATATATGTTACTTCATTCATATTTTACCTGAAACCATAAAAAAGCATTCTGGTTAAACTAATATCATATAAATATAGGGGATCATATATTGGGTCTATATATACATATATACATAATTTAATTCATATATATGTTACTTCATTCATATTTTACCTGAAACCATAAAAAAGCATTCTGGTTAAACTAATATCATATAAATATACATATATCTTCATATTGTAAAGTTCTGTATACTTTTCATATATAAAATCTACATGTGTTATGTATTCATGTAATATTCTCACATATCTCCCTGTAGTTCTAATACTTTAAATGGTACTATTATGTAGGGCAGTAATAAGATAAAGTTAATGGACTGTTTTCTGTTTTTTCTCTTTTGAGAGACTCACTCTAGTTCAGGTTGGCTTCAACCTCATGACAATTCTCCTGCACCAACCTCTTGAGTGTTGAGATTACAGGCATGTGGCACTGTAGCTTAATGGGCCTTTCATAAATAAATTTCATAATGTCATTCCTAAGCTCACTGTATATAAAAAACACTGTCTGATTTGTTCTTCAAAAGACATGAATATTCATACTACTAACTACATAAATTCAATGCAAGTAACTGTTGAAAACAATAGATATTCTTACTTGGTAGTTGCTTGGGTTCTCATTAGTGTATAGAAGGAAGCGGGTATTGATGGCCGAGGGGCTCCAGGGCAGGGATTTCAGGGGTCTTTCCAGAATGCCTGCCCATGGACTATCATCGCTGAAGCAGCCAAGTCTATCATAGCAGACTTCGCTTCCTGCAATCATCCAAAAGTATTTCAAGGACATTTGTTAACCAGAAAGCTCTTTCTATGGGCTCATGTAAAATATGAATTAAGTAATATTTTGTGGCAGATTTTTATCTATGTTCCCAAATTACTGTTATTGACACAAAAACAGCTTCAGAAAGATAGCAGTCCTGATGCACACAGGCTACTGCTCCTCACATCCACCCCAGGGGACCAGCTTCTACTCGCTCCAAGACAGGGACTCTCTTTCTGCTTCTCAACCTGGAGATCGTCTTTGGTCTACTGGTGCCAAGGTGTGCAATGGCCATGTGTCCCAGGGATGAGGGTAGTACTGTGTGTGTACAGGCCCTCCACACTCAGCAGTCAACATTTGACCTTATACTTTTTAATATATTTTTTAATGTATTTAGTATGGGGTCTACAGGGTCTCACTACACAGATTGCACTTATAGTGATCCTTCCTGATTTTCAGCCTCCTACGCGCTGGGTTACAGGCATGTGCCACCAACCCAGTCTCATTCCCTGTCTCAGCGCTGGCACCACAGGCCGAGGATCAAACCTCCAGCCCCTGTGTCTGCCTTAGCAGGCACTTTAATCCGCTGAGCTGTCTGGCCAGCCTTTGGTCTTGTACTTTGCATAAAGAGATTAGGTTTCAAGCAAAGGTCAAAATTTCCTACTTCCGCTTTGGGGAACAGGAAATGTCTGATCTGTTTAAGGGTCATCCTGGATTTCTGTAATGAAGAAGATACCTACAGACCATCAAGTTCCAACACACACACACACACACACACACACACACACACACACGCTGATTGGATACCATTGTAGGGTGACATGCTACAGCATAAAGAGATAATTCAAAATAGAGGATAAGTTCCAGATTAATTGTAGGAGTAAAATTAGGGGCTGTCCTTGGGGGGCTGCATTCCTGATTGCTTACTATGTAACCTGAGGGCTGGACCAGATGATTTACCCATCTGAGACTCAGCTGTGGCGTGATAGGGTGATGCCATTAAGCCCACTTGACGGACCAACTTCCGAAAGCACAGAGGTGTTAAGGATTTTGCTCAGGGTCATAGAGCCATGTTGACTAAAGCAAGTTTCAAACTCTTCCATTGACTCAAAGCTTAGGATATTAGGCTCACAAAATGAAAATGCAAAATAAATTTGAACTTTGGCAAAAGTAAGTTTTTCATAAAAAAGTTGTCACATTTTTGTGACTGTCCTAATTATTTGTGGTTTACCTGAACTTCAAATTGAACTGGCAATTGTAGATTTTATGTGGCAGTCCCATACCAAGTCCTATGTACTCAATCTTGCATGTCCCTTACTTCACTCGGTCTCCTTTTGGCTTGAATCTGGGGTCACAGCCTCCTGGAAAGGACTGAGAAGTGAGGCCCTCCCTGTTCCATAGGAATAGCTAATTCTTACCTATTACTGTTCCCAGAAGCAGCGAGAAGGTCCACAATAGCAGCATCTACAGAAAGGGAAAAACATGACAGTCTGTTCGGTTAGAAAGTTGAAAGATCGGCAGAATCTAAATTCATTTAGTTCTCTGCATGGAAATGAGTGAATCCTAGCAAATTAGCCTGGAAAACTTGTTCCTGACTCACCATGGTGGATCTGTCAGTTTCCACAGACAACCAGCCAACATGGAGTGCTCGCTTTATAGGTGAGCCTTATCTCTTCAAGGAGTGCCATGGAAAAGTAGCATGAACTAAAAGAAAGCTCCAAGGACAGAGAGCCAATTGTAATCACAGATAAGCCCACATTGATAGAGTAGGCAAAGTTTCCCAGAGTGTTTGTGGGAAGATGAGAGAGTGGTAGATAAGGAGAGTTCTCTTCCAGTCTACTCATGGAATGCTAAGAGTCACTGTCATTTTATTCTAGTCAACCTTTTAATTTTCAGTTCTCTGTGCAGGCTAGTGGGCATGTATGAAACTAGATTGTTGCCGGATTTTATAGTAGCCATCTCGAAAATTAATACTGAATGTTCACCAGGCTTAGGTAGCTTTCTATCACTTGCCTTTCCCTTCAAACACTATGAGGTACAATCCTTCAGGAGAGTGTGTTCTTTGTAGCAAAACAGTTGGAATTATATGTTGAAAATCCATAGCACTTTCTTATTTTTCAATAATGACATGTTAAGAAGAATAAACAACAAAGGAAAATGGAATCTGGGGTGCTGTGGAAATCACGGGGTGCAGTCAGTGACTCCACCATGAGATGAAATTACTAATAGTGTTTGGACAGGATATCACGTCTGCATCTTGTACTATGAATAACTATTACGAAAACAACAATATGCAATGTATTAATTATTGTAACTGTCCTACTAATGTGCTTTGAAACTGTCTCATTGCTATTTGTTTCTCAATTAAATTAATAAAAGAAAAGAAAATACTGGCCTGGAAAAAATGTTCTGGAAGAGAGATGTTTAATAAAAAATAAAAGGATGTTTTCTATTTTGTGGTAGATTGCTTAAATTGCACTTAAAGAAGAGTGCAATGGGATATGACAATTTTAGGGACTAGAATTAATTAGCCTGGTAGTATAATAGATTTGTGTTGAACCATATGAAACTGCTATACTTCTACATTTAAATGGTCAAACATATTTTGTCCACTTACAAAATTATAGACATACTAAAAAGACAACAAAATTTTTGTTAACAAAGAAATCTTGACAGAATTCAGCAACTATTAAGAGAGACTCATAATTAGGACAGAGGGCAGAAGGAAGGGATTTCTTCCATGAGCCTTGGCAAACTCCCACCCAAATCCTTCCTGTCTCAGCTTTGCCCCCCTCCTTAGGGCATCTTCTCCAGCATTCCTGGTCCTCCTGGTCCCACAAACAAGGTGCCCTCAATGTAGTCCCATGAATGCCTCATGAGTCACAGACCAAGAGAGGACTGGAATTCTTCTGGCCTCCTTTCTCCCATCTGAGCATTTGGCCCAGCGCTTGACATTTAGCAGATCCTCAACAAGTCCCTGTTGTATGCTTGAAGAAAGAGCAAATGAAAATGAAAAACCTTTTATTTTTGCATGATTGCTACATTAACTGCCTACACAACTTCACAATAAAGACTTGAAAGCTTCTCCTACTCTATTAAACAATCCTCCCCAAACAAATAAACCCTCCGGAAACCTCTAAGAAGGAAATCATGTTTACCCATAGTACTTACTCACAGTAATGTTATATTGATTTGACTGAGATATCCTATGGAGGCCAATATTAATTTTGTGTATATCATGAAGTAGTTTACAGTTTTGGAAAATTACTAGGTCAAATTATTTATCAAGTGGCACTCTAGATGGTGCACAATTTAATCCATATAATGGGTGGCCTTTCATTGTATATAGGTTATAGATTTGGCATCAAATTCACCAGACTCTGAAATAGAGAATAGTCTATTGAGTTACTTTGTAAACTTAAATAGATTCAAAGTGAAAAATAGCTCAGAAAGATTCAATTCTCTAAATCTACAAAAGTTAGGCAAGAAACAGAACACAATCAATAGTCTATCACGTCAGCTCTGCATAAATGACTTCCCCTAATTCCAACCCTGCTGAACTTTGTACTCAGTCAAACATTCTGTTTTTCTCACACTACACTAACATGCTCTTTGGGGGTGTCTGCTTGTAAAGACTGTGGCAGAGACTGCTAACATCTTCTTACAGAGAATGAATTTACAGTGCATTCTCTTATGCCCCTTGCAGAAAATAAGACTTCAAACCCACCTCTGGCACTTGGATGTGACAGCCTGTATGTATACCAATACCAGTTCTTTTCCTAAAATGCCACAGGTGGTCCTTCACCCTTCTGCTCCTGTCTTGATACAAACAAGACAGCAACCTTAGAGGTATGTGTTGAAGCTGGTAAAATCCTGAAACAAAAGGGTCCAGGGTATTCTACTTATGGGAAAGCCATTCAATGATCACTAGCATTCATTTTGTCTTTGCTATTTTTTTTTCTTCTTCCTACTGAGGATTGAACTCAGGACCTTGCACTTGCTAGGCAGGAGCTCATGCCACTGAGCTATCTCCCCAGCCTTCAGCATTCAGTTTGGATTTTACATGAGTAGGAAACTCCTGTTATTTATACTGAGATGTAAGGTCATATCAGGTACCATTGCCATAACAAATAGAAATTTCTCTCTCTCTCTCTCTCTTCTTTCTTTCTTTCTTTCTTTCTTTCTTTCTTTCTTTCTTTCTTTCTTTCTTTCTTCCTTCCTTCCTTCCTTCCTTCCTTCTTTCCTTCTCTTTTTTATGTATTTAATACAAGGTCTAAGGGGTCTCAGTATATGGATTGGACTCATAGTGATCCTCCTGTTTTCAGCCTCCCAAGCACTGGGATTATAGGTGTGCACCACCCTGCCCAGTCTCATTCACCATCTCAGTGTTCCCCTGGGGTGGTCCTGGCAGGGCATGTGGTGCCAGGATCAAACCTAAGCAAGCACTTTAGTTCTCTGGGTTTTCTGGCCAGCCCAACAAATAAAAATTTCCTTACTATGTACTTTTTCTCTTATGTCCATGAACTTTTAGGATGCTAAACATCCAAATCTGGGCTGCAATTTCACTATGAGATTTATGCAGAACAGTAACACTGGCAGGCTTTCTCCACTCAACACTTGTTTTTTAAATCCCTTTCCTGTCACTTCCCTAATTGATTCTAAATTCACTTATTAAAATGCAATTTTAATTTTCTTTTTGCCAGCTCAGCCTGCCCTGAGGGCAGGGCTGGTGCTGTCTGTGGTGCTGGGCATCAAACATGGTCCCCTGCACCTGCCTAAGCTTGCTTAAGTTTGCCTAAGAAGGTGCTTTATCTCACTTGCCCAGTAAAATTTTAATTTAATGGGCATATTTCAATTCAATCTCTGATGGAGACCTTTAAAAGGTAAACATATAAAACTTTAAGTTCTAATGAACATTCACCCCTGTTGCCTGGTCCCCTAGGTACAGTGTTGTGAAGCTGCAGTAGTTGGGTGTTCTAGATACACAGGAAATACTCTAAGGCCAATGGGGACTGGAGCTGGAACCCTGCTTCCCACCAGCCTCTGCTGCTGGCTTCTCCCTTCTCAGGACTACAGATCTGAGGCTCAGCCTTGTGAGGGACAGTAGAATCATGGCAGGCTTACCTCAGGGGTCCCATGGCTTTTAAAGTCCAGGTGGGATCCAACTAAAAAATAATTCTACATCTCCTGGATTCAACAAAGCAAGCCATAACACAACTTAACTTTGACCCAGAAACTTTCACTACTTAAACAGAAATGCCAGACATGGAAGTTTCTAATCAAGTGTTTATATTTACAGAGGAGATATTCACTTTTCAGTGCTCTGGTTTTGGTGACCTTGTGATACCAAAGTCTAGATGAAGGGGAAAAAAGGTCCTGCAACACCTGTGTGGTCAGATAACCAGCCTGTTAGACGAATGGGGTCTCATTTACTTAACCTTCACAGACCCTGTCCTGACTAGGACTACTGCCAAAATGTCCATGGGAAGAAGGACATGTTTGGGAATTCTAAACTTCCCTGAGCAGAAAAAATGATCTGGAAGTTATCATTGCTTGGCACTTTCCAGAACATCAGCTTCCCATCAGTGAGAGGGTTTAGCCATCCAATATCAGGATATAAAATTATAGTCAATCCTCTGCTGTCATGCATGATTTAATTGTTGGGATAGAAAAACATGCACACTTACAATGTTATACACTAGTGATTTAGGTTTCTATGCTTTTATATTTTTGCTTCTAATCCCCTGCATACCTTTGGAAAGCTTTATTATTTTCCATATAGATAGTGACATTCAGAGGAAAGCAACCTGTTCAGTGACACAGGTTTGCTAAGAAGCAGAATCAGTTTAGAGGAACAAATTATTTTCCTTAGCTTCAGATGACATATGTCAATATACAGAAGGGCATGTTCTCCCAGGCTGTGTTAGACTAGAGTTGGTAAACATGTTGTCCACAATGAGTACAGAAGTGTTAGTATGGGTGTGTAGACACCTGTTTAAAACTGAGTATTTGCTTTCTAAAACAAATTCACACCTCACCACACACATTTTTGATAACATGGGGGGCAGTAGGTGGGGGGGAGTAGAGACCACCAGGCTTATGTAACATGGCCTGGAATTTATTGTGCCTGGGTTCAAGCAGAAAGCATGATAAGACCGTCAAACAAAAGAAGTGTGTCCCTCTTTATAGGGATGAAAAGTCAGGGGACACTGGACAGGAAGATCCCAGTGAACATCTGTGGTCCAAGGTTTTGGGCAGGCTTTCACCTCAGTAGGCAGAGTCCTTGAAGTGTCAGGTGTAAATTTTCAGGTTTCTCCAGCTGTCCAGGAACCTGCAAACTTCCTCGTTCTATCTTATCTCCTTTTCTGTGACTGCCAGTAACAGCTTTGGTATGGAGCTGTGTTCTCTGCAGAGCATAGTGCTTCTGCTGCAAAGCAGAGTGGGGGCTGGGAGAGTCAGGCCCAGCTGAAATCTTACAA